ACTTCTATATAAATAATGAATAGGCTTCTCTATTGATGATGCTTCTTTAAAGGTCACAAAAAATAAATAAATAAATAAATAAAGAGAAAAGTCTTCTACAGTTTATTACTTTACTTATATTCAATATAACTAATTAGTAACTTGATATTTTGTATTTTTTTTTAATTTGTATAAAAGTTAAATTAAAAATATATTTTAAAAGGCGTCTAAAAGCGTAAATAAGTAGAAAAATATTCGTTTTTTTAAGTAAAAAATATAAAATTTTGTCTAAAAATAATTTCTGAAATCCTTTAATTTAAATATATACAATAAAACCCTTATAAAACGGAGAGAAATGTGATTCCGTTTTACACAAGTTTTAGTGTAAAACGGATTAAAACCTGCATATAACACTAAAACCCGTGTAAAACGGAATCGCATTTCTTTCTGTTATATACAGGTTTGACTGTATATACAAGTTTAATGAATATTTTTAAGTTTTACTGCATTTTACATGAATTTTTATCATTATTTATATGCAGAATATCACGAATATTTAATTAATAGAACACGTGTTTACATCTCAAAATATTTATTTATTATTTGTAACTTATATGAGAGTTAAAATTAAATTTTAAAATAAAAATAAAAATTATGCATATATTATATTTAAAAATTTATATCGACGATTTAATATAAATTTTTAAAGATCGTGGTTTATTTAAATGAAGTTTAAATGAATATTATAAATTTTAAAATTCTCTAGAGCTATTTAGAATGAAATGAAATTAAAATTCTTAAAAGATATTATTAAATTTTTAAACTTGCGTTAAATATAATGATTATTTTTTTTATTAATTTATGAGCCAAGAATTAAAATCACGATCAAAGATACCTTTACTCACACTTTAAATTTATGCAAAGATCTCGATTTAGCGTCACCATATAAAATTGGCGCTAAACTGAATTATCCCAAACAATAAGGAATGAGTCTGAAAGCTTGTAAACCACGTACAGTACATCGATTCAAATCGTACATTTAAGGCTAGAAATTGTACACACTTACGTCGATTTGACGTCATTTTTTTAATTTGTTTACTGTAAAACTGAAGAGATGACGTGAAATTACATATTCTGTACAAAACGAACAGGATTATAGTAATCCATAAATACTGTAAGGTTTTATAGGGAAGATATACTCTTTGGCGTTATTTTGGAGGACGCTATATCGAGGTTTAAGTGTATAAAGGCCTATATATGTTACTTCGATTCCTTTCTATGTGATACAGTATATTTAAATTATATATATATATTGATTTATTTTTTCTGAAATATACAATATGTATTCATATATACTAGTTTTAAATAATTTTTAAAAAATATAATAAGTAATTTAAATTCTTAAAAAAATCTATAAATTGCTGGACGTTATTTTAAAGTACATTTTGTCGGAAGTTTCGAGTTAAATTTAGTGGATAGCCAAATAATAAGTCGTATGAAGAGCACAGAGAAGATGCCCTGAATTTTTATTAATTTTGTTTGAAGGGAGAATGGATAAAAATAACAATTTAAACATTTTCATAGGGGGAAAACCTATAAATTTTTATATAAGAATATAGGATGGATATCTGGTTTCGAGAACCACTCTCGGTTCCTCTTACTGCACATTTCTTTATTGCTATCGAATCAAACTAAATTCTCTATCGTGCACCAGTCAATAAGAATTCTATAAAAGGCAATATTTTATTGGAATTGACCGAGTTGATGTATTTGAATGTAACCTATTTTCAAAATTCTTATGCAATAAGATCTGCAGAGAGAGAGAGAGAGAGAGAGAGAGAAATTTTTTAGCTAATTTCCAAAAATATATAATCTTCAATGGATCGACCGTTTAGATAAAATATAGTAAGAGGAGAATCACTTCAAACTTTTGACTACAGATATTTTTATTTTTACTTAGGATATTAATTTTTCTAAAAGAAAAGAAGAGGAAAGAGGATTGGAGTTGAAATTCCTGATTCCTCTTCCTGAAGTATGTTCCCCCCTCCTATATTTTTTAAAAAATGGAATAAGTAATTTTTCGTTATGACATAATGCACATGTCAAAAATTGAACTAGCGGTGATCCATTTTAACATTTATTCTGTCGATATGATTCAATGTATAAATCCTTTTCTCTTAAAGTATCACCTGTTGTCTGTTTAGATTCGTAACGTTTACTAAGAATATCGAGCCACTTGTTGTGATTACCCTCTTGCGTGACCAAATCTCTCGATGAGAGATTTTCGAAATAAGAATATGTCAATATTATAGATAACGTCATAAAATATCCTGTTTATACTTCACCTTTCATCCTCGTTAAAACGAATATTTTAACTCAGCTGTATTTATTCGTTAAAAATTTCACATTCTACCTTTCAGTTTAAAAAATTAATATATAAAAAATATATATATAAAGTATTTTTATTCTAGTTTTTGTTATTGTTGTTCATGCTGTGGCTATGCTACATGCAACATTCCATTCCCCCTTCGCATGCGTTCGGTGGCAGATGAATCATGCTTTATTTGTAAGCCATTGTGGCGTGATGTCTATTTTTATTTAATTTTTTTTCTCCTCCTCTATTCATTTTTGTATGGAGGTAAACTATATAAAATTCTGCATAAAATATGATTGGTGTAAGATACGATAAGCAAAATTGCAATGGTTCTCTTACGGTTAGAAGGGGCGTAAATTTGTTTTAAAACTTAATGATCGATGAGTGTTTTCCTTCTGATAAACTGGATGGAGTTCCATTTGTATCATGTACAAAAGGCGTATTCATTTGGATAATTTAATTTTGTCTATGTTCAACATGTCCTAACTCAGCACATTTACTATCTTATCAATCACGTTCAGTATCTGATCGTACAGTATTTCCAATGTATCATCATTTCTCACATGGTGACACTTGATGCTACCACATACATTCCTTAGATAACATTACTGCCGTATAGCAATTACATGACATTTGTTTCGCCTGGCATGTTCAAATCTCAATTCTATGTATTTAACGCTACGCTAGGATAATTAATTGAATTAAAATTATTCAAAACATTTCTTAATTATATTTTTCTAACGGGGTTACATTTTTAATTTTTCTAAGTTAGGATTCTGTTATTTAGTTTTTTTTTCTTTTGTAAGCTGCGGTTTATATGGAATTTTCCAAGCGGAAAAGCTTTCGATATTTCATATGTTGAAGGTAATCTATAATGGCAGTTTCCGTCTGGATGTTTTATGATTCGGGCATCCAGGTTAAATTAGATCTTACCTATCGTTCATCAGAAAAATATCAACTTCTTCACAACAATTCGTATAAATGGATTTTTTCATACATCGCAGCAGAGTAAAACTCTTAAGTGATTCCTCGAGTAAATCGAATTTATAAACTCTGCTCTTTATATATATATATATAAAGAAATTTTATCTCATAAATTTTGTATTAATTTATGTATATTTTCCTTAAGAAAGATTTAAAAATCCGCATAATTATAGCTTTAAGCGAAGAGATAAACGGATTATACTTTATGGTAACTTAATGCATTTATATTCTTCTTCTTCTCTCTTTCAACAACGTAATTTTTTTTATTATTTTTATTTTTATAAAGAAAAATAAAAAAGAGGGAGGAATCGTAATCATATTTAACTATTAGAAGTTTAGAGCTAATTGCAGTTTTATGAGGCAAACATCACACTCTCCAGTTGTGTATCCTTCGGCATCCAATCAACTCTTCTAGCAGGATATTACACCATAAAGATTGGGATTGAAGCCAAGAATTCAGTTCAAATACCGGAGAAAAAGTAAGACATGAAAGTATTTTCTACAACAAATTTCATGCTCAGTTGCGATAGAAAATAGTCAATTAACTTTAAATGGGTCAAATATTTTATTTGCTTGCCTGTATAAGAAAAGATAAAAAAATTAAAAAAACTTGGCAACATAATATTATAAACATTAATCGCTGGGCTGTAAAAGAGAAATCATTACAAAGTATAATTATACGTGGAGTAAACCTTATCTTTAGGGAGCTCTCTGTAATGTAATTGCAATGGAGGACGGCAGCGTAAAGAAAATATTAAAGAAAAGAGCATAGACTTTGGCGGCAAAATAGACCTATAGAAAACTAACTAGAGTTGTTTTTGGTTGATATAAAAAGAAATTTATATAATAAAAAACCAATGAGTGGCTGATTATTGAATGATATGAGAAAGAAGATTCGGTATTATAAAGAGTCGGAAGAAACAGAAGAATCCTCCATTTTTTTTTCTTCGGCTAATGGCACTAAATGCAAGGAGTAAAGAAGAAACACAACAGAAAAAAGTCTTCCGGATGCATTAAAGAATGTTATTTCCGATATAACAAATGGAAGATAAATACAGGAAGAAAATGTCGAAAGATATTTTTTAAAAAATCTTCTGAATAAACGAGTTTCATGATATAGAACTCGTATAAAGCTACAACAAAACCGAGATTAAAATTAGATTTATTATCGAAAATTAATTGGAGAGTGAGTTAATTAAACTCTTAAAGAAGAAATGAATTACGGTGTGATGTTACAGTAGGAAAAAAACTATAGAAAATTGGTTACACGAAGCATAGATTAAGAAAAATCTTGTTAATCTTCGGTCAAGTTTTATATTTCGTTAGGATTTGGTTGGAAATTTTCAATGAAATTTCTTCGATAAAAAGCTTGTATTGTTTACAAGACAGAATGAAGACAAATTCCTCTTTTATTCTTACGATGAAAGATAACTTTTGTGGCAGTTCAGGACTGAGGTTTTAATTAATTTACTAAAGTTTGAATTACAGTTCCAGCGGAAGAAAACTGAAGCAAAAGAAGGATTTAAACCTTTAGTCTTTGGTTAAATCTACCCGTAATTACCTCTATCTTACTTTTAGAAGAGAATATATTATATGTAGACTAAACATGCATTATTCATCTCTTTCTATATATAAATTTCTCTATTTTCTTCTGTATTTTCAGATAGCAGCAGCGATAGTGAAAATACTGGAGAAGTGAAAAATGTGGCTCGATTGGTAATGAGACCTCCGGGTCATAGCGGTAAAGCTAAGAAGGGACATCTTGTTTTTGATGCTTCTTTTGAAGGAGGTAAATATCATAGTAAAATCCCTATGTTATAATAGAAAAGTTCGGAATACGAAATGTCAAAAACTTCTTAATGGCTTAATAATACATCAGTAAGATAGATCTGGGCTGTCGAGATCTTGTGTGGGGCCTGGTGTAGAGTGGGCCCTTTTTATCTTTTTTTTCTTGAAAAAAAATGTAAAAACAATCTTAACTATTTTATTTTCTGTTAGTAAAAATGTGAATTTATAGGGTAGAAACCACTTCATGATTTTAATTTTCCTCCGGGTCCTGAGAAGAATTCTTTGTTCCTCCATCTCGACGGCCCTGAGATAGGATTTTAAGTTAAAATTTTTGAATAAATAAATAAAAATTGACAATGGATTTTATTTATTTATATATGTAAAAAGGAATTATACCTTACTCCTTTGTTATTTTTCCTTTTTTTATGTGTATAGAAACCCATAAAGACGCTTTTTTAATGGCATAAAAAAGCCATTGATTATATTTAGCCTATATATCTACTTACTCCATTGTCTTCTTTTATAGATTTTTAGATATAAATTTATATTAGCTTATAAATTAATATAGTGTTAAATTTATTTATATATTATAATATATATATAATCTATAATTTAATTGGATTAAAAGCACAATCACTGACATATCCACTTATCATTATGGAAGGAGCATCGAGAATGGATTTGTGCATAAAATTAGGTTTATGCACAAGTTTTAGATATAAAATAACTATTATATATTTGATTTATTTATATTTACGTAATTATTGTAATTTACATTATATATTTATCATAAATTTTTTTGTTTATTTAAAATTTTTGGTCAAGAGGGGACGTTGCCCACTCTTTCTAACTTTGAATTCACCTATAAGCATAATTATTGAAATATTTGTATTATCGACGTCAGGGCATGGTTAAACGTTACTCAATCTGAAATGGAGCCTATAATGGGCCTTCATTTTTAAAATGACTTGAATACTTATAAAGTATGTATCTCTTATACAGGGGCCCACGAGTTTCGAATGTGTAGGGCCCTTAAATCTCTTTATTCGCTCCTGCTCAAATTTATTACAATAAAACCTCTTAATAACGGACACTGACGGGAACATTAAAAAATGGTTTTTGTTGCCGTTGTTTGGAGGATGTTTTGCATTCATTTTGCTAAAAATAAAATAAAATAAAATGAGAAAGTTCCTAGAAAAAATGACCGCCATTTAGAGATGGCCTTTGTTGGGAGTGTCAGGGCCGTATTTAGACATTTATCATCGGGGCGTGGAGGATGATTTTGTGAATTGATACCTATGGCTGATACTGATAGTTCATACAAAGTGCCAGTCAAGTAGGCTGGCTCTCCTCCCCCATTATCCCCATCTTTCACGCCCCTTTATTCTTCTGTTCTTTTCATAATTCCCCAAAAATATATTATTATATTTTTATTTTCGGTGGCATACTCCGCAAGCATACCTTCAATGGAGGGAGCGAAAGGACCCCCAGTAGCTCTCCCGAGAAGGTATCCATTATTGGATGCACGATTCAGATTTTATAGTTTAGATTACTTAAAATAAATTAGCATTATTGGAAGAATAAAAATCCTATTTTAAAGCAGTCGAAGTTAGAGAAATAAAATGATTTATATCAATAAATCTTATCCCTTTCTAAGCATACTATAAATTTACAAATTAGGTTATTTAAGCTTCATATAATTTATGTTCTTTACAGAAACTCGCTTTGATATTGATTTGTTTCTGTTTTGAGTACAATTTTTGCGAAAGAAAAGGATGGAATATTCTTTTTTATTTATTTTTATTTTATCCATTCATCTGACAATATTTATGTTTTCCATCTATTACTACTGGAAGTAAAAGTTTTCAAATATTTTAATTATAATATATTTATTAAAAAACAAACTTTAATATTAAATTTCGTTTTGTAAATGACCATTGATCAATTTCTTTCATCGATTTTCTTTTTAAAAATTTTAATAAATTTATTCAAATACCTAGCTTTATATGGTAACTTATTACGTGTTTAATTTTTCATATTGACGCTTAAATAAAAAGTTTTGAATGGATTTGAATTGTTTATAAATAGCATAAATTATATTATTTTACAGCAAATATTTATGCTTTTATCATTTTAAATTTACTAAAATTGCTTTTTTTAATGTAAACTTTATAATTGATAAACGAAACAAACACGTCTCCGTTTTGTAATATTTTCCATTCTGACCTGACCTGAAATTATGTTTATACACTATTTATGGTCAGTTAGTTTTAAATATTCATAATATAAACGAGCATAATTATGCCGGGTTGCAATTTTTAATCATCTTTTAACTTAAAAATCACGTGACTTCTGGTCCAGACCGAAAGTTCGTACACTTAGTCCGGGTCTCCAGCTTCTAAGTTTTCCATATCTGGTCTCGATTTTTATCTATCTAGCTGCGATCATGAAGTAAACGAAGGGCAGACAGACGTTATTATGAATGTATAGGTTTGAAATTTGAAAATTGTAGCCCATAAATTTGCATAAAGAATGTAAATAAATTTAATACTCTTAACAGAATATGAAGGAGGATGTCAAGTGACAAATACTTAAGAAAATTAAGCTGTTTATGGGTAAATCAGTACATAAAAAATTTATAAAATTTAACGAAGAGCAGTTACGCCCAACTGGTGTTAAAGTTAATGGGCGAAGTCATATATGCTTTTTTCGTAAATTACCCAGTTTAAATGGTTATATCTTATTTAGTTATCTTTAAAACTATGTAAAACGTTTCACGCATTACGTTATACATGTTTGGCAGGGAGGAATAAATAAATTTATTTATGTGGGGCCCTGGCACTTACAGTTGTGGAGCCTCCTCTAGTAACAAACGCCCGTACAAATAAAAACTAAAGGCCATAAATTTAGAAAAAAATATACATAATTATATATAATATAAAAATATGTCAATAAATTTGATTATAGCATTCTCTACTTTAAATTTACACAGAATTTATAAGTGATAGCATGTTGTATTTCGTTTCCTGAATCATTCCTTATTGGGCTACAATTTCGAAAAATTGTAGACTTATAAATTCTCACTGTTGTTCGTCTGTCTGTCCTTCCTTAATCTCGAGAATAGCCTTAAATAGATGAAGGTGGAGATCAGATGTGGAAATTGTAGTGGTAAGATGGCCCAATTAACTACATATGAACGTCCGAAGCAAACCGGAAGTTATATGATTTCAATTTATTTTCTCCAGAATTGAGTGACATAGATGACAGACATGACTTTTTGTTATCAGAAAAAGTATAATGTACAGGGGAAGACACAAATAATTTGAGATCGAGAAAATAAATTTTAAATTAAATAAATTAAAAATTGCAACCCGGCATTGTGAAGATGTCACAATAATTTTTGTTCGTTTCTATTATTTTTGTTTCTCTATTTTTTTTTAAATTTCATTTTTATTATTTTCTTTTTACGGAGGTCCTTGAGTACGTGCCCAATATGTCTATCTATAAACCAGGCTTCTTCAGTAAGGAAAGTGGTGGATTAAGATCTTCCGGATCTTAGGCACAGATATATTGGGGCCCTTCTACGTAATTTTACGACATCGTAAGCTAATAACGTTTAACTGTAGCCATAGAACTATTTATAAATTATGATACACGGTAAAATTGCTTTAATTTTTGAATTTAGGAGCCCGGGGCCCTAAGCATATGGTATCATATGAGACTCTAGATACGAGATCATGGGTTCCTAGGCATGTGAGGCGGTGCCTAACGGGCAATCTGACACTGGGTAAGGCCCACCTATCATCTTTTACTCTTAATCACAGAGGTTTTTAAAAGAGTATATTCAGTATAAACCCTTAAAAAAATCGAACAAAATCGTTAAAATTATCACGATTTTTATTAAAAATACCGAGAATCATTAAAAAATATTTAAAAGTATAAAAAAATTCAGCCGTAAAGATGTATAATATATATATATTTTTTATTTTTATAAAACCGAAGCCGTTTGAGTGTAAGGGTATTGCTATGCTATAAACGAAACAACGTCATATCTTCACGTAAAAGCTGTTATCGTCCACGACAAATTTGATTAGGGCATTTAATGTATTCTTATAAGGGCAATTTATATTCTCCATTAAGAAACTATTAGACAAAGTTATATTATTACAGTTGGATCCGCCAACCATACATGGTTAACCATGTTCTACATATTGGAATAAATACTTTTTGTAAGGCATGGGTGCATTTTCATTTATTACTATGCATCACACATACAACATTGCCTAGAGGTATATAAAGTTACGCATGTCAATGAGAAAGATTTTGACTTTCAAATCAGAATATCAAGGAGGGAGAAAGATTTCATAACGTGGGTGGTTAATATAAAAATTCAAAAGAAAGTCTTCCTCCCCGGATAAGCAGCTTCTTTATATTACATTTCTGCTTGATTTTTTTTTATATTAAATGTAATTTATGCATTCTTAAATGCGTTTAATATTTAAATTTAATTTATTAAGATAGATAAACTTTTTAAAAAACAATTTAAATAAAATTTTGTGAAGAGGGGATGCATAATAAGTTACCTATGGCTGATACTGATAGTTCATACAAAGTGCCAGTCAAGTAGGCTGGCTCTCCTCCCCCATTATCCCCATCTTTCACGCCCCTTTATTCTTCTGTTCTTTTCATAATTCCCCAAAAATATATTATTATATTTTTATTTTCGGTGGCATACTCCGCAAGCATACCTTCAATGGAGGGAGCGAAAGGACCCCCAGTAGCTCTCCCGAGAAGGTATCCATTATTGGATGCACGATTCAGTTTTTATAGTTTAGATTACTTAAAATAAATTAGCATTATTGGAAGAATAAAAATCCTATTTTAAAGCAGTCGAAGTTAGAGAAATAAAATGATTTATATCAATAAATCTTATCCCTTTCTAAGCATACTATAAATTTACAAATTAGGTTATTTAAGCTTCATATAATTTATGTTCTTTAC